AGAGTGTTACAAAGTATATGCATAAATCCCTGAGAGATAACTGAAAGTGCTGTGCCATGACAGTGTGAGAGAGAAAGGAGCTTATATCTGTAAAGTGAATCTACAGTTCTTAAAAAGAGTCAAAGTAACAAAGAGTGTGATACAGTTGACCTAAAGTACTTACAAATACCTATTTCCAAAACAGTTACAGTTTAAACAACTTCTTACTTTGTTCTTCAAATAAATCCTTTTTATTTAAGTTTACCCCAGAAGCCTGATCCATTTTTCTTCAGGAAACACATAGTTCCTCGAAAGCCGAGACCCTGGGTCACAATACCAAAACCAGACGAAGAAAGTATAAAGGTTTGGAAAGCCTAAAATGTCCTGGTGGCAGCCAGATTACCCAAATTAAAATAAAATATAAAGTACGGTTTTAAAGTAAAACCAGACCTCCTAAGAGAAGAGGTCGTCACAGGCACCTTTAAGACCAGGTTTTATTCAGGTACAAGCTCTCCCTCCTCTGTGAAGGCAGATCTGCACATTCCCCCCCCCCATAACTAGCAATCCAAAACAGTCCAGTGGAGCCTGAGCGGTGGGTATTGCCTTCTGACACACTTCCGGTGATGTCAGGGGCTGTGGCATATGCAAATAAGTTATGCTAATAAGTTACACTAATAAGTTATGCTAATGAGCTCCTGCACCTCTTTGTCTATGAAATGTCCTGTGTAAAGCAATATTTTCTTTTGTCTGTCGTGAGTTTGCTGCAGCCTTTGTTAAAGTAGAAAAACTCGTCAGACCAGGCGTTGTTAGTTGTCTCTGAAATGTCAGCTTTCTCATAAACTTTATATTGATTTGTTACATAGACATAGATTATGGGAGCCAGTCCGATCCAGGGAATGCAGAGTTGGGCTTCTAGAAACCTAGGCTCAGATCTGCACTTGGTTACGTAAGGTCAATCACCGTCTCTTAGCATAACCTACCTCACAGGGTTGTTGTGCGGACAAAAGGGGGAATAAAGTGCACCTTCCCAGACATTTACATACTCAGGCTGCCCCTGTGATCTTTAATTCCCTGGACACGACTGAGCATATAATTGTCGAATGCCCCCTGTATGAGCTACCTCGCAGAAAATTCCTTCTAACTTGGCTTCATCCTAAAAGTTATTTGAGTAACAAGTTAAAATGTCAACTTCTCTTGAATGATTCAATCCCTGAGATCACTAATGAATTCAGGGCTATTTTTGGGCAGGAACGCAGAGGAACGGAGTTCCGGCTGGCTCCCGAGTTGGCCACACCCAGCAGGAACTCATTAGCATAATAGGCCACGCCCAACAGCAGGAACTCATTAGGATTGGCTACATTAGGGGTGTGTGGCCTAACATGCAAAGGAGTTCCTGCTGCAAAAAAAGGCCCTGGGTAAACAGAATAACAGAATAAGAAGCAAAAGGTGGGTGTGGCTGGATGACCACACTTCTGGTAACATGGGGTGTGGCCTAGTATGCTAATGAGTTGTGTTGTCAGGGGTGTTGCCTAATATGCTAATGAGTTTCTGCTGTTGGGTGTGGTCTATTATGCTAATGAGTTCCTGCTGGGCTTTTTCTACAAAAAAGGCCCTGCTAATGATGTTGCCAAGTTTCTTACCGAAGTTCTTAAGGTACAAAATTTTAGATGGTACTATTTTGATTGTAC